GAGTGTGGCTTTATTAAGCCACAACTCTTTCATTGCCCCGACTGTTACAAGCAGGCGTGTTCAGCGTGCCTGGCTAGCATCAGGCTTGGCTCCCAGAGGCGTTGGGAGTATGGACAGTAGAGGGCAAGGTGGATGACGGGGCTTGTAAGTGCGATTTGACACTGCCTCATCGTGGGGATACCTGTAACGATAATGATCATGGCGAGTGGCATTTGTCTCGGTTTTTGGCATGGAGTTTTGTGGATTTCTTTTCTGAAGGTCTGGGGATGGGTGGTCGGAGTCAAAAGTGCTAGTTTTGTGGAATTTTAGTGGTCATGTCTCTCCTTCACCTCTACCTTCACCATGTCACACACACACAGACGCAGTAATCGTGATCACTTTGCAAGTAAAGTCTCTGAAGGCCCAAGAGTTATATTGCCTTTCCACATTTACTCTTCTGCATATCGCAAGTGAGGTACAATCCTGAGCCAGAAGACCTGAAGAATCTCGCTCCCGAAGTTTGCCCTTGAATTCTGCCCATCCACTGTCCTTTCGTCATACCTAAGGAAAGTTTGCGATCAGGCAGAGGTTGCCAAAGACTACCCATATCCTGACTCTTGTTGTGGGTTGCAAGTTGCAAGAAGTTAGAGCCGCGAACAATAAAGAAATCGCCAGAAAAACCCAACCCGGTTCTTCACTGGCATGACCATGATGCAAATCTCGCATTTGGTCGTCAAAGTCGTAGTTTCCTGTAGCTGTGTCGGTCGTAGAATAGAGTCTAGTCATGCTTCTACGCGTTTGCCACAGATTATTACCATGAGGGATCGGGCTCGGGAGTATAGCGATCCAAGTCGGTGATTTCGTGAATGAGCTTGCCAGGAAGATCCGTATCCCGGTGGTATAGAAAGCTGTCCTGTCAGTATCTACCGTCATTGTCTGAGAGAGATTAGGTGGAGATGGGCTTACTAATTTTCGTAGGCAGGATAGACGATCTCTGCGTGCTCGATGATTATGGGTATCTTTGAGTCTTCGAGCCTTCGAGCAAGCATCCTCGCCATCCTAGATGCCTGGACCCGCCAGTTCGGCAACCATATATCACCTCGCGCAACCGTCTGCCCGAAGAAGCAGAGACGGACTTCTTTCAACCCAGGCATGTACTGATCGGATGGGCGTAGTAACTCGAACAAGTCAAGGAGTTTTCGACTGTGTTCCTGGACCCATTCCACCCAATGCATCTCAATCCGAAGGTACGTGATGATCTTGCGGTAGCATGGCCTGAGAACCGTCAAGGCAGATTTGAATGGCTTGACGAGGTATATATTGAACATGTTGAGATCTACGATCATGAGAGCTGATTCATAGTAGGTTTGACGGCATGTTTGAAGGAGAGCAGTGCGATTATCGTCTTCAGGCCCTTCGCACACAAACCGGTACTTCTGAGAGGTAATTTGAGTGCATCTGAACGTCTTCCCTCCGAGGACAAGCTTCCAGATCATGTTGCGGAGCTCTGGTGGAATGCGGAGGAGTAGTGTTTTGCGGTTGCGTTCAAAACTGTTGCTGAGGTTAATAGTTGCAGGCAAAGCAGGGCGCTCAAAACTTACAGCGCCTTCTCATCGCCTTTAGGGGTGACATTCAGGAGTTTTCCTCGAGTTCTATGGAAACCTAGGGGTCTTTTCTTGGATGGGTCATTGACTGGCCGAGCTGCGGTCTGCTCTACGTCTTGGTCTGCGTCTTGGTCTGCGTCTTGGTCTGCGTCTTGGTCTGCGTCTTGCATGATGATGTCCTGGTTTCCATCAGCTGGTGCATGGTATGCAGGACCAGGAGCTTGATATGCAGGGCCAGGTGCAAACTCTGCCCGATCGATTTCATAGTCTGCTTGATCATCGCGTAGAGACTCCGGTACATCAAAGACATCCTCTGCTGGATCAAGTGCATCCTCTGCCGTGTCAAGTGCATACTCCGCTGGACCAGGAGCATGGTATGCCGGACCAGGCACAAACTCTATCTGGCAGTGCGGGTCATACGTGTCCGGGGCAGGCACATTGCCCTGCTCATCAAACATGGGGGCGACGATCTCGAAGCCGGATAAGAAACTAACCTGTGCATCCTGCATGACCGTATCCTGCATCATCGCGTCCTGCATCACCGTGTCCTGTTGCCCGCTTGCTGCAAGCTGCCAGGCAGGAGTGAAAGCAGTCGCGAAGGGCGCATCCAAATCTGAAAAGAACGGCATTTGCTGCTGATGGTGAACTGAGCCTGCGGTGCCGAATGGTGATGATGTGGGGCCAGGGTCGTCGAAGATGGTGTACCCATTTGCATCGAGGGCAACATGCTCGTGGTGGGACATGGTTGGCGGTGATGTTGGGTTTGAGGGATTGCGGGAGTGCCGGTGTAAGAGGCGCAGAGGATAGCTACCTTTGAGGGGAATTATCTGTGCGTGCGCTAGGACGTGGATCCAGAGGGATCTACGAGGATGTGAAAGACTGGTCCCTGATGAAGTTTGAACATATTGAAAGAGTAGAATGACCATAGCTTTACCGGACCAAAAGTGGAGTAGGCACAACAACTAGTACGCCAATGACAGTACACAACACATGTGCAAGGAACTTGAAAGGTCTGTGATTATTACCAAGTAGGTTACACGAATACGGATTGTTTACTTGCGACCTGCCGCCCTCCATCACCTCCAGCCCCTCCTCCACGGTGTGCTTGACATGGACCACAAACAACTTCCATCTTTTCTGCTGGCACAAAAGCCACTCAACACCCAAGCCCTAGTGCGCCAATGGCTGCGGTCTGACCATCTTGAGATGACGGACATCTTTGAGTGACTTGGCACTTCTAGAACATCTGCCCAAGGAACAAGAAGTGGTTAGCTTTCATGCGTCAAAGATAATCTCGTATAACCACATAGAACATTTGAACTCAGAGAGAAGATTGACTCGTCCTTGATAGTAATGGGCGAATGGGAAAGTCAAGCCGCAAAGCGTCTCTCATTCCCACTCAAGCCCAAGGCACCATCTCCGGCTAAGGATGACGATAATATGCTTTCATCATAGCGGGCTGGAGTAGAAGTAATGAAGTACACATACCCTTGCGTGTTTGTTACCTGGGGCTATAGCTACGAGAAGCCTCAGGTTTCTTGAACTGTAATAATCCGATGGGATGTACAGTTGCAGTCGGGCGTACCACAAAGCCGGACAAGCTGCTGTGTATAAAGAACAAGAATACATGAGCTTGGCAATTTAGAATTCCAGACGGTGAGAAGGAGGCTCAATAGTCCAAGTCGAAAGAATCCTCTTTTTGTACGTCTGGTCCGTTAGCCTGATGCCATGGATCCCATTCATCACTCTCATCTTCACCTTCATCGCGAGGAGTTTTCGTCGTGAGTTCTTTCTGCTGAAGTCTCTTTTTGGCTTTGTATTTTTCTCGGTGCCTCCTGTTCTTGGCCTTGGTTCTAGCGCTGCTGGTTGTCCACTGCGTTGCGTTGGGTTTCTCCACGCGGCCCGTGCTAACTCTACCCGAAGCATCATTCACATGGCTTGCTGCTAGTCTAGGCGACGTAGCACCAGCGGACAACCGATTGGAGGAGGCCGGCTTGTCTGCACGGGTCTGGCCGGACTGTGAAAGAGCTGAAGGATTCTCATCCATAACCTCACCCTGCTCGCGATCTCGCAATTTTTCGCGCTGGCGGAGGATTGCTTGAATCTCCGAATGACGAAACATGGCGATTTGTTCGTCAGTCAAGGTGCGCTGTACGCCATCCGAATAGTGGCCCAGGTCCTCGTAATAGGCATCCTCCTCGTAGTAGTCTTCCGCAGCAGCATCAACGTCGACGCCGTGAAGGAACGTCTTTGGCTCTGCTGCATGTGGAAAATGTTTCGAGTGGAATGCGCGGAGGTCGTCCTGAGTAATCAGCAGGCTGCCACAGCGGAGGACGGCACGAAGGAGTGTGGAGCTTACAATTGTGACGGTAGGAATTTGGAACTCCATCATGACGGGTCTTTTCTTATACTACGCTAGTGAATGGCGCGCAGGCGGCGCCGTGCGATCAAGTTGGTGCTAGCATGGATGTGTGAAAAAGTGAGGTTGAGGTTGAGGTTGTGGGGACGGCAAAGCGCGTCTAAAAAGTTGGCGTTGCAGATCAATCGCGCGGTCACGAGGTCACAAGGTCACGGGGTCACGGGGCTGGTCTTGGCTTCACCACAGCATGACGTTTGCCCACGGGCCACCCTGGACCGGACAGGCGTTTGAACAGTGTGTCAGTGTATCGCTGCCAACATCCACCACGACACTCTTTGCGAGACTCTGACCGACCATGAAGCCTGGCTCTATTGTCGCATACCCCATTGCAAGCGTCTGCCTGTTTCTTGCTTGCTCCGCCGAGTCCCGGCCATTCGATAGCATCATAGAGTCATTCAACATCCTTAGCGATCAGTCACCGCTTCACGACTACATCATGAGCAGGCCAGAGGGCCAGGTGTCTACTGGTGTAATCATATCCGACGTCATTGGAAAGACGCAGACTATCGCCATCTTCAGCGGACTCACTCGGGACATTGACGACGTCTCGAAACGCTTGGACGATGCTGCACAGAACGCCACAGTCCTCGCGCCAGACAACAGTGTAATGCGCAACCTGAAAAGAAAGCCATGGGAGGATCCCGAAGACTATGATTCCTTTGGCGCAAATGCGTACGAGGGAAGCAGTGGAGAGGATCGTGCGCGCAAGAACCTTGAGCGCTTTGTGCAACGGCACATCGTTCCAGAAAGTCCCTGGGAAGAAGGAAAGAAGGTCAAAACGCTTGCCGGCGACGAGATCTGGTGGGAGACCAAGAACGGCCAGAAAAAGGTAAGTTCATTAACTTGCTCCAATTTTCGTGGTCTTTGCCCGTTGAATGGCCGGACCCACATGAATACCACCTACCCCGAGCAAATTCTCACCGCCGGCAAAATCTGCATTTCCAAGGCACATTCATATTGTACTCAATCAGCTTCTTTCCCATCAATCATTCAATCATGGTGAGATGGCCGAGTTGGTTATGGCGCCAGGTTAAGGTCTTCCCCTTAGCATTGTATTGCTTAACAACAATACTTCCTGGTCACGAAAGTGGCGTGGGTTCAAGTCCCACTCTCATCAGCATTCGTCTGGCACTGTTCAGATACCCCAGGATCTTTTTTTGCCTTTTTTTTGCTGCTGGGACCAAGTTACCTGACGCCCACTTCGAGTACTTGACTATTCTTTTACCTTAGTGTTGCTCCCACTGCAATCGCTTTCTACGCTTTCTTTTCATATGTCTTGTCACAACCAGTTATGACCGCACAACCTGAACTCGTGCTGACGAAACAACAGATCCAGCCAGGTAATGTGGAAGTCACGAGCATCGCCGACAAAGTCTCAAATGGTGAGGTCTGGGTCTTGGGAGGATCATTGGCGTAGATTAATCATTTTACCTAACTTCACGAGCACGAGGACGCATCCATTGGATATCTAAGTAAATATGACGACAGACGGTCCAGTCTCGCAACCTCCCCATCTAGGAAATTTGCACCACAGCCGTCGATCAGTGTGCTGAGCAAATCGACATGCAGCCATTCCTATTCGTAGAATTTTTTTAGCACCGTCGTTTCTTACTGGTCAATACCAAAGCCAGCCATAGACAGATCAGATTAGACTTTGAACATAATCAACAGCCTTCCAGACCTCCCGGCCTCGCGCAATACTCGTGTCCGTAGCAAATCGCTTAGTCTCGCGCTCCGCAGTTTGTAAGCTTCGTTTCCCGAACGGCTTTGTTCCCGAAGACGTTAAGCTATGCCTTCTCAGGAAGCTTTACAGCTCCCCTCTTTACCCCCACTTTCAGATACATAAACAGCGTGTGAACATGACACAAGAGGCACACAAGTTCAGCTTGCCAACACCAGTGCTTGAACATAAAACTTGATATACGACCACCATGGCATTCGACCCCAGCAACCTCGCTGTCTGCGAAACATGCGGAACCCAATTCGACGTCGATCTCTCCGAGCATCCAGAGACATGCCGCATCTGCGATGTACGTCATACCACCATTAAATCGGCCCCCAAACACATGTAACAGAACACCGTTAACATAAACCTCCAGGATCCACGCCAATACGTCCCCGCCTCCGGCCAAACATGGACCTCTCTAAAGAAAGAAAACCGCCTACAAAAAAACACTTTCGAGACCGACCCCAACGACGCCAGAATCCACTACATCTCGACCAAGCCGCTCACAGCCGCAGAGCTGCCCCCCGGGCTCGCGGACGCCTCGACCACGCGCAAGCAACTCGGCATCGGGGAGCGCGCGATCCTGCTGCAGACGGCGGGCGGCAACGTGCTCTGGGACCTAATTGCGTTTCTGGATCAGGCGACGATCGACTTCATCCAGAGCAAGGGCGGGCTCAAGGCCATTGTGATTAGCCACCCGCATTTCTGGACGACGCATGTCGAGTGGGCGCAGGTGTTTGGGTGTCCGGTGTATGTGAGCGAGGCGGATGCCGAGTGGTTCAACCGCAAGGATGAGGCTGGGTGTAGGAAGTTGGTTGGGAGTGTTACGCCTGTGAGTGAGGTGGGCGGGGAGGTCAAAGTTATTCAGGCTGGGGGGCATTTTGATGGGAGTAACTTTCTGCTGTGGGAGAAGAAGTTGTTTATTGCGGATACGATGATGAGTGTGCCTGTGAGTTTGCCCTTGTCCATTTTCTCCGTCCCTCCGAGCGAGAAATTCGGGTTGAAGTGCACGAGGATGTGCAGAGCTGACTGACTGACACTGATAGTCTGGATTCAATAACGCGAAACGCCTTCCCGACACCGTCTCTTACAGCTTCATGTGGGCGTATCCCAATATGATTCCACTTCCGCCGAACAAGGTCCATGGTATCTGGAAGGCACTCAAGCCTTTCGAGTTTGACAGCACGTATGGCGGGTTTCCAGGTCAGTATGTTACCCGGCCTGACTTGAAGGCGCAGGTGCTGGAAAGTATGAAGATCTTCTTGAGGAGGGGTGGCCATGAGAAAGCAGCAATCTTCCAAGAGACCTTGTAGCATTTTGTATCATCGGGAGGAGTGGCGGCCTAGAGATGTAACAAGTAATTTGTGGTTTGTTTGATTCAGAGCAAGATGTTGAATGATTGTGCTCTCAATTGACCACTGCCTTGAATCTCTTATTGCTTGTGCTGCAATTGAATCCTGAGTGCAAAGTAACTTTGGCATTTCAATTCAAGAACACGAAGAATTGATCACAGTTGAGGACAGATATTCAGTATGCAGTATAATTTCATCTCTTTTGCTAGAAATCGATTATTCCGCCCACGAGTCCAACTCATTTGTCAGGACACGGACTAGAACGCAAATTGCAGGATCAACCCTGCCCTTCTTTACCAAAGCATCCACCATAACGTTGAGCAATATATATACAAAGGTTAAACAATGCCTCCGGAGCCATAAACGCTAGCAGGTTTGATACCAGAGAAGTCACCAATCATCATGTCGCCAAAGGGAATCCCCGGGCTTGGAGTTGCAGTACCTCAGGATTCGATACATGTACCTAACCGGGATACTTGCATCTTTTGCTCTAGTACTGCTTTTCCGCTGGAGTATCGCGACTCTAGACAGCCACTGCGTCGGCAGAAGTAGTAGTGGGTGCAGTTTCGCCGACGGCTTCAGTGTCACCTTCAACGGGATCAGCCTTCACAGCAGGTGCGTCCATGATGACCTCCTTGTCAGCATCAGACATGGCTACGTCGCCGTTCTTGTCTGCCGACTTGTCGTCAACGGATCCAGGCGCCTCGTTCTTCTCGCTGTTTGCGGCAGAGGCAGACTCCTTCTTCGGCTCGGACTCTTTAGTATCCTCGTCATGGTTCACACCATTGGTTGCAGCCTCAGCAACAGGAGTTGCAGCAGCTGGTTCGTTCTCAGTAGCCAAGGCGCCACTCCACTTGCCGAGCAAGTCACTTGAGCGCTGTTTGAAGTGGTATTCCTCCTCCCTGGGAATTCCCTCCAACTTGATGATAGCTTTGAGAACTTTGTGAACTTTGGTCTTCCTGATGATGTCGGCTTCGAGATCGCCGAACTTTTCGAGCTCCTTGAGGTATTCGGACATGCTTTCCATGTCTTCATCTTTCGGGACCTGGTCTCGAGACAGAAATCCCTTTTGAAGGCGATGGCGGAGATAAAGGACTAAGCAAGGTCAGCCGAAACTCATCACAAGGACTGCAACAACATACCTTGCTTCTCACGCTTTTGAAGCTTCTCCTCCTCGGTCATGGGTGGCTCCTCCGGTGGGCTTGGCTGGGCCTCCTCGCTTGCTCCTTTCTTCGACTTGGGCTCTTTCTTCGGCTTGGCAGCGGAGTCCTTTGGTGTCTTAGTGGTCAACTTCAACTTCGTTTTTGGAGTCTTTGCAGGCTGTCAGCAAATTAGCAACGGTGAGGGTTGAGGCTGCTCAACTACGCACCTTCTCATTCTCCCCGTCACTCTCATCACCCTTCTTGCGCTTCTTGGAGCCCTTCGCCTTCTTTGCGGATGGTGCAGCGTCATCCTGAGCATCCTCCATCTCTACATCGTTTGACTCGTCAGCCGCCGTACTCTTACGTTTAGCAGCCTTATCGGCTTTCTCCTTCTTTTGGATCTCCTTTTGCTCACGTTGCTCAGCATCTTCCTGCATAGCTTGCTCGTGTGCGAGAAGCAATTGCTTGAAGTAAGCCAGATCATGTCCTTCTGCAGCAATCTGATATGCTTCCCAGAGTGCCTTGTTCTTCTTCGCCTGGTTTCCTGAGTCGACATCCCTCTTTACATCCTCAATGTCGAAGGTGAGAAGGTCAGTGTTGACTTGCCAGGCGCTATCAAATACGTTAGCACATGGACCATTTGTGTAAGTGTAGTAAGAGTATATAACATACAACTCATTGGTTCCCAAGAACATAACCGGATACCGACGATCTTTAGCGTTCTTGCCGCCCTCCAAGAAATCCTCACGATACGTGCCATCGATTCTCTTTGCGCTGACTGGACGCTTGCTTAGAAGCGATTCCGGGAGCATTTCCTCATCGCAGACAATGACTGGCCATGGTTGGTAACCGCGCATGGCAACCATGTACATGTCGCCTGACGAAGCATCGAGACGAAGTTCAGGTGCGGGCTTCTTCTTCTTCTTTGCCGGTGTCTTGTTCTTGCCGCCCTCGGATGTGGCACCAACGGACTTGCGCTTTCCATTGGTCGCCTTCTTCGGCGCGGGGGTACCATTGACGGCGGGTTCGTTGGCAGCAGGAGCAGCGTCTGGATGGTGGGTAAGTAGGTGTCTACTAAGCAAGCTGTGCTCCGACGAAAAGGCAACTGCTCAAGGGTTTGCTAAGTTTGCCTCACCTGCATCATCGCTTTGCGGGGCGGGTTCTGCCTGCGCGTCGGCAGAGGTGTCTTGCTCGGCGGCAGTAGTCTCTCCCTGAGAAGTCTCGTTCGTAGATACTTTTGGGAGACGCGTAAGCTATCTATCGCCCATGGGCACGCAGTGTGCAATTACCTTCAGCAACACCCGAGGTGGCCACGACTCCGCCCTCAGCCGGCTTCGCCTCAGCAACAACTGGCTGGGCTGCAGCGTCCGCCGCGCCCGTTGTCTCCTCCACAGGGATCGCGGCGGCCGTGTTGGCGGGTGCAGTGACCTCGTCCGCCATTGTGTACGAGGTGCTGACGGGTGGGCGAGAGGGCGTCGACGCGTAAGGGATGCGACAGGTCGCGAAAGTCCTCGCGGATCAGTCGATCGCGATGGGGATGGCGCGCCGTTGATGGGTAGACGGCAAGGTTGATGATGTGGAGGTGGAGGTGGTTGGGTTTGGGTGCGGTGGTGTGGGGAGAACGAGAGAAAAGCGATCGGAGAGCTCTTGAACTTTCGAGCAACGCCTGGGCTGGCACGTGACGTAACCTCCTCAGCCTGGGCGTATTTGACGCGCTACGGTCCCCGAAAAAATTGGAGGTAGATCACTAGCGTCGTTGGAGCGTGCGGTGAGGGGAAGGTGATGTTGCAGCGACTGCGCGTGGTATTTGTTGTGTTGTTGGGGTCCGCCGTTGGTGCTATCGCTGCCTTCCAAGGTTTGGCGCGATGCGATGACTTTCTGGCCCGTGCAGACGTGT